GTCGCCCCGCCCCGGCCCGAGCTGGCCCCGCCCGCGGTCCCAGGGAGCACTAGGGGGCGGGAGCTCGGGAGCTGCTGGGCGGGCGCACGGAGCGGGAGAGGGGCCTGCGCCCCCAGGGGTGATCCCTACCCGGAGGAGACGGAAAACGAAACTCCGCCCCTGCTGGGAAACTGTGGGCGCCCCCCACCTCCGTCCACGCCTCTTTAACGGGATCCCCAGGCCCGCCTCTCCTGAGAGCAGGGTGAAGCCCCTCCTCCCTTCCCTGTTAGGTGCGGACCCCCTGCCTGGATGCAGCAGCCTGGGGTCCCCAACAAGGCCCCAAGCTACCAGTGGGGTTTTGGGGTGCAATGCACCAGCCCTGACTTCCCAGCGTGACCAAGGACCTCTCTTGGAGGAGTCTCCGCGTTCCCGAAGTGTCTCCCGGCAAAGCCAGGAGTGGGGAGGGACGGGACATGTCTTGCCTACCCCCATCCGATGAGGCTGGCGCCGTGGTTGGGGGCGGGGGGCAGGGGAGGTGACAGCCCCAAGCCGCAGCTACAATATGGGTGCACTTTCCTGCCCCAGGTTTCTGATTTTTTCTTTTTAATTAAGACAGTAGCTTAAAATTCTGACTGTCCCTCCAGGGTACTGGAACACCGTGTCAGACTGAGAAATATCCCTGAGTCACATTCTGGCACTCCACCCTCCAAACCCTATGCTTCTTGGGGTCAGCTCCTTCCCCAGCAAGTCCCACTTCCCCAGGGTGACTCAGGGCTCCTCCCCCAGGCCCTCCCTGCACGTGTCCTGCTGCTGCCACACACAGGGACATGCCTGGCCCCAGGTGCCTGGACTCGCACCCCAGGGGCCCTCAGACAGCTTGCCTTACAAGGCCGGCAGTGTGAGCAGACACAGCTGGAGGCAGGGAGAAGGTGGTTCTTTTCCTGGGCCAGCAGAATCCCCAAGACATGATTGTGGTTTACAAGCATGAAGATAATGTGATGATTTTCAGAGGAAAACAAACAAACAAAACCTGCCTATGAGGTGTTCTTTCTTATAGTTAACCCGGGTTGAATGCCCAGCCAGAGAGGGCCCCGCCTCCCAGCAACCTCCCCTCTTCATTTTTCCCTACCCCTCCCCTTTCACCCTTGACTCTGCCAATGACTACCTGCTCTCTCCCCTGGCCACAGTCTTGTGGGGCGGGGGGTGCTGATGGAGAGTATGGGCCCTGGGCCGTCCTAAACAGGAGGAGCTCCAGGACTCTTCTTGTGGAGCAAGGGGATGCCGGAGCTGCTGCAGCCATTTTGGCACCTTGAGGTAAGCCAAAGAAATAAAGCACAGATGAAAGAAACATGTGATTCGTGTCAGCATTAACATCGAACAACACTTCCTGAGGAAATTTCCAGTTCACCCCAATGACTTTTAAAAGAAAGACCCTACCGGGCCAATCTCCAGCCTCTGCCAATTGGACTGCACTGTGACATCTTTTCACTGCCTTTAATATTCCAGAAGCTTCTGGAGTGCATGGTATCACAAAGGATCTGGGTCCCCATCATCAGCCATAATAAATAAGCACCGTCACCCTCTGAAAGCCAGGCCTGGAGGTTTTGTATTTATGTCCACACATAAAGGCCTTTGAAAGATTTCTCTAATTCATTAAGATGACTTTTTTTTTTTTAAAGTATTACCGTCCTTGGCTCCAAAGTAAAAATCTCCACAACATCACACAGATGCTTTGGCTTCAAGAAGCTGTAACTTCCAGGATGAAAATTAAATTAATTGAAAAAGCATCCTGAGTTGTACCTGGATGCCACGGAACACGCACGTGGGTCGTAAGTCAGACCCGGAGTGCGACGCATCACACCAGGGAACGGGCCTCTGGCTCTGCACGTGAAACCGAGGGCACTGGGCACAGACGTGCATTACACTGTGCCTTGCCTAACGAACAGTGAACTTGTAACCTGCCTTCACTGATCGCTTTCATTTTTGCTACAAACAAAACAAAACAAAACAAAACTTGCACATCTCCCTAACATCATGGCGCCCGAACAGTAAGATGTTTGTCCGAGTTGTTTTTCAGGGACTTGGGGTCAGTTGTGTCCAGTCTGAGCTCAAGATGGTTAAGACTGGTTATGACCACAGACCCTCCAACTGGGCATTTGTGAGTGTCCAAGTGGTGATTTTTTGACGTCCGAAGGCCACAGACTCCACCCCCAGGACAGGATAATGCCCCCATTTTCTGAACAATGGTCCCAGAAAGAAGCCCAGAGCTTAGCTGCACCTGCACAGGATGATGCGTGGGTGGGTGGGAGGGTGAACAGAAGGATGGATGGATGGATGGCTGGATGCAGGGCTGGAAGGATGGATGGATGGATGGATGGGTGGATGAATGGATGGATAGATAGATAGATAGATAGATAGATAGATAGATAGATAGATAGATAGATAGATAGACAGACAGATCAATTGATCGATAAAATAGGAGGTTCCTCACCTCCAGGACGGGGGAATCTGCTCTTTTAATGTTTTCAACAGACAGCCCGTCAGGAAACATGCATTAATAATCATACACACAGTGAACGCTCAAGCTGCCGGTCTTATTTGTATCAAAATTCCACTTCTCACCTCAACACTCCCCCGGCTGAGAACACACCTGTGAAGTTTCACCAAGTTTCCACCAACTGATGAGTTTAAACATTCGAGTTAAGCAGAGGCGACTTGTACTCAGCGGACAGAAAAACCACACCCACGTACTGTAGGCTTCATTTTCTGACGATGAATCAGATTTCAAAAAACACGGAGTCATTCAGCATCTGGAAGGCATTTGGTGTCACCAGTTATGTAACCGGTGGGATCCCATAAGGATGATACTGGTCTGTTACCACACCCAGAGAGAAAGCCCTTGCAGAGCCGAGGAGGTGGGAGAATTCTAGATTTTGTTTATTTATGATGAGGACAAAGGAAACAAAACACAATGAACTTTCTTCTTTCCATTTACACCTGTAGACAGACTTCATTTTATTCTATAAGATATAGCTTTTTTTAAGCTTTTTTTTACAGCTTTTTTAAAGGACTTCTAAGATACAGTTTTGTTTTGTTTTTTAACAAATGGAAAGTTTGTGGCAAACTTGCACAGTTTTCCCAGCAGCATTCGCTCACTTAATGTCTCTGTGTCACAGGCTGGTGATTCTCGCAATATTTCAGACTTTTTTTTTTATCATAAGTATATTTGGGTTGCTGAGGTGATCAGTGACCTTTGATGTTACTACTACATCTGCGTGTGTCCCTCTCATGTTAAAAAATAAAATCGGTATATTTATACAATGGAATACTACTCACCCATAAAAAATTAAATAATGCCATTTGCAGCAACATGGATGGGCCTGGAGATCTTCATTCTAAGTGAAGTCAGTCAGACAGAGAAAGAAAAATGCCATATCAGATCACTTATATTTGGCATCTAAAAACAGACAAACTTATTTACAGAACAGAAACAGACAGAAAACAAACTTATGGTTACCAGAGAGAAAGAGGGTAGGGAGGGATAAATTGGGAGTTCAAGATTTGCAGATACCAACTACTATATATAAAATAGTTAAACAACAAGGTCCTACTGTACAGCACAGGGAACTATGTTCCATATCTTGTAGTCACCTGTGGTTAAAAAGAATACGAAAAGGAGTATCTATATGTCTCTGTATGACTGAAACATGATGCTGTGCACCAGAAATGGACGCAACACTGTACACTGACTAGACTTTAATAAATAAATAAATAAATATACACAACAATAAAAACAAAATTCAGCCAGGCCAATGGTAAAGGTCTTGTTGAATTTATTTGACGATTCAAAAATCCGGCAGCATGCCACTGAGCAGACAGAAAGGAGTTCTGAGGAGCTGGACAAAAATGAAAGATTTCTGTAGGCAGAAGGGAGCGGGGACCAGGATGGTTGCACCAGCAGAAAGCAGGTTGGTGGTGACAAGTTCTCTACCCTCAGGGGATGGCAGGTGCTTAGAGCCACATTCCCTCTCTGTTGCCCACCGGCTGACTCCTGAGGACCTGGTTTAAGATTCCACCTCCGTGAGAAGCCAAAACTGTCATTAAGTCAAGTCTCTGTTTGCTGACATGGGTCTTATCAGAAGTGACTCCACCTTGAACCTGTCTTGTTTTTAACGTCTTCACTCTGTCCTGGCCGTTCCCACTTATGAGGACCCTCGCTGGAGAAACCAGGATGCGTAGGAGAAAATAACTTCCTTTCTTGTAATAGCTTGGATACACTGTTCGTCCTCAACGCTTGTCACCCTCTTCCCGTATCTCAAGGGCTCTGATCAGTGACAGCCACCAAGCAGGCTCCAAAAGCCATACCTCTGAAGGAATGAATGAATGCATCGGTGACCCCTAGAGTTTTGCAGTTAACCATGAACTTCTTCTTTTTTTTTTTAATTGAGATATAGTCGGATACAATGCTGTGTCAATTTCTGGTGCACAGCACAGTGCTTCGGTCACACATGAACATACAGGTACTCATTTTCACATTCTTTTTCCCCACGACTTACCACAAGATCTTGTATATATTTCCCTGTGCTGTACACTATAAACGTGTTCATCTATTCTATATATACGTGTCAGTATCTGCAAATCTCAAACTCCCAGTCTGTCCCTTCCAATCCGCCTCCTCCCAGCAACCACAAGTCTGTATTCTATGTCTGTGTATCTGTTTCTGTTTTGTATTAAAGTTCATTTGCCATGAACTTCTTAACTACACTGAGGGTCAGCAAACTGGGGCCAGCAAGTCAAAGCCCAGCCCACCACTTAATCGGGTGGAGCCTGTGAGCCGGACAGAGCGGTTTGCACATGCTTACAGGGTTGAAAAGACAATCCAAAGAGCAATATGTCATGACAATATATGAAAATAGTACGACATTCTGGCTGTCACGAAAAAGATCACAAATAACAAATGTTGGGGAAGATGTGGAGAAAAAAGAACCCCTCCCGTGCTGTTGGTGGGAATGTAAATTGGTGCAGCCACTAAGGGGAACAGTACGGAGATTTCTTAAATAACTAAAAGTGAACTCACCATATGATCCAGCAGTCCCACTCCTGGGCATATACCCAGAAAAACTCTAATTCAAAAAGACAGCTGCACCCCAGTGTTCATAGCAGCACTATTTACAACAGCCAAGACATGGAAAAAGCCGAAATGTCCATCAACAGGTGACTGGATAAAGAAGATGTGGTGTATTTACACAACGGAATACTACTCAGCCATGAAAAAGAATGAAATCATGCCATTTGCAGCACCATGAAAGGCCTTGGAGGAAATTGTGCTAAGTGAAATAAGTCAGACAGAGAAAGACAAACACTGTATGATATCACTTAGATGTGGACTCTAAAAAAGTGCTACAAACTAGTGAGTATAACAAAACAGAAGCAGACTCACAGAGAACAGAGCAGTGGGGAGAGGGAAGGGGGAGGGTAAGATGGGGGAGGGGAGTCAGCGGTACAAACTACTATGTATAAAATACATAAGCTACAAGGACACATTGTACCACACGGGGAACACCGCCCATATTTTATAACCATAAATGGCGCATAGCTTTTGAAAATTGTGAATCACTATGTTGCACACCTGAAACTTAAATAATATTGTACATCAAGTCCACCTCAATAAAAAGAATTTTTAATAATAAATTAAGCAAATGCTTCTCAGGGAGCACCCTAGTTCCTTCTTTCCTTTCCCCCTCTGACCGTGGTGTGGAAGGGACATATTTATTGGTACAGAAAGAGCAGCCTTCTGCTCGGGTCGGGACAAAGGGCCTCGTCTGTTTGCTCCACTACCAGCTGGAAAACAAACGGCGTCGTGGGGCAGTGACTTTACCGAAGCAGCAGGGGGCCACGCCCGGCCTGTCCCCGCCACCCCCCCACCCCTGCCCCAGCCCTGCCGGGCTCCGCTGGGCTTCCCGCTGACTCATCTCACTTCGGCCGGTTTGTTTTCCCCTCCCCATGGAGACGGCCTCTACATCTGGCTTCTTTAACCGCAGAGAAGGAGGTGCTGAAGATTAGGGCAATCGGCTGCTCTGTTGTAGGTTTTTTATTTTTCAAGAGTAGCGTTGGAACTGAAACGTTTTCCGTCAGGCAGCAAATCGGTATTTGCAAAGCTACTTGCCGTGGCAATGGGTATGTTAAAAATCACAGCACAGACGCAAAGAGGAGAGTGACTGGGGCCAAGACACATGGTGTGTGTGCGTCTCGCCACAGGTGGCCCCCGTGCTGGGGGCGAGTCTGTCTTTCTCCACCACCCCGTCTTTACCCCTCTGCCCAGCATGTGAGGAGCCGTTTATATGGAAAGAAGAAAGGGCCTTCGTGTTTCGTTTGCCTTGTGCTCGCCATGCACAAATTCTCCCGGATTTGCTAGGAGCCAGCTTTGCAAGCCACGGCCACACGGGTAGTGTCAGCCGTGGACCAGCTGGCAGGTGACTCTGGCGAGGCTGTCTAGGGCGGCGCCGGCCCCGGACCCCCTCAGCTGGCCTGTGTGCAGACGCCCCAGGTCTGCACTGGATGACTGAGGTGCCGCTGACTCTTCCTTCGGGGGTGGGGGGCGGCCCAGACTCTCTCACCAAACCTTATTATTCCAAGATTGTCTTCCGTCTCAGGCTGTACACCTCGACCAGGTCGATCTGCAGAGAGAACTCGTTATAAAGCTTTGGGGAATGGACCCCTCTTTGGAGTAGGGGCATGTCTCCCGCCACCCCGTGGGCCACGTAGGCAGTCCCACCCCCCCAACTCAGTTTGGCAGGGACAGGGCAAGAAGCCGCGTGCCCCAGTGAGGAGGAGGAAGTGTATGATCCTGTTTGCAGACAGGATACCAAAGACCAGGAATTTGAATGACTTTGGAAAAAAAATGTCCTGCAGTGGGCTGTGCCCAGCGGGGTTCCCACTCAGGAGCCGGGGCCTCGTCAGCAAAGCCCTGAACAAAGCTCCCTGTGTCAGAAGGTGGCTGCCGCCCGCCCGCAGGGGCAGCTCCCTGGCGGGAAGGACGGGACGGGATGGGATGTAAAGGGCGAGGGAAAGAATCTGCGGGGTGGGGGCTCCCAACAGAGGAACGTGACCCATTCTGGAGTTTCAAGTGTGGCCCAAGGAGGCAGGGGCTGGTGGGCTGGAAGGGGTCCTCCAGAGAGGCTCAGGCTGCCCCACGGGACACTGAGGAGCCACACGTCACAGAGATGGAGGAGCCTGGAAGCTGCCAGTTGACAAAGGAGGGAAGGGAGACCCAGCCCGATGAAATGACACAGGGTTGGGGATGCAATTCTACCTTTCTGAGCCAAAGAGGGAAGTCTTAGGTGGCATTTTAATAAACCTGCCTTGTCTCTCTGTCTGCTTATCTGCCCATCGATCCATCCATCCATTCACTCAAATATCCATCCATCCATCCACCCAATCATCCACTTAGACTCATCCATCTCTCCATCCATCCAGCGACCCACTCAGTCATCCATCCACCCATCCATCCATCCAAACATCCATCATCCATCCATCATCCAACCATCCAACCATCCACCCATCATGGCACCCATCCATCCACAATCCATCCATCCATCCATCCATCCACCCATCCATCCACCCATCCATCCATCCATCCACCCATCCAAACAACCATCCACCCATCCATCCACCCACCCATCCACCCATCCATTCACCCATCCACCCATCCATCTGCTCAAATTCATCCATCCAACTCTCCCCTCGTCTTTCTCTTCTCCTCACTCCCTTCTCCCTCCACACTTGGCTCCTTTCCTCCGTCATCCCATCCCTTCCTCTCTCCATCCCGCCTTCTCACACATCAGCGAAACTCAGCCAGACACCCACTGAATCCAATGGGGGAGACATCTGGGAACCAAATCTTTGAACAAACTATGAAAGTGTCTCTGTGTTACCAGCAGTGATATGGGGGGGGGGCGGACGCTCTGGATACTACCTTAGTGGAGACCTGGGGGTCTTGCCGGAGCCCAGATGGGGACCAGACGGAAGTTGAGCTGACAGTTGAAGAAGCAGCCGGCACTTGTGGATCAAAGAGAAAGGGAGTTTGGAGCGGCGGCTCACAAGTGGCTGGCGGGGCCACATGGGGACGAAAAGAGGAAGTGTGTGGTGGGGTGGGGGGAAGCAAGCAGACAGAGGCCACAGGCAGTCCCCAGTCCTGGAAATGCCCCCTTGACTGTCCCCAGGTACCATCCTTGCTTTCCACTCTCATGGTGCCCCCAGCCCCAAACCTGTTCCCCAAGAGCCCCCTCCTGCCCCACAGCTGCCCATCTGTCTGCTCTTGGCTGCGGCTCTCAGGGTCCTTTTTGTTCTACTGTGGGCCCTTTGCGAACATCTTCCCCGAGCATCGGTGTGCAATGTTCGCTTTCCCATCAGGAAAGCGGGCTGCTCGTTACTGACAACCAAGGAAACCCGAAAACCAACCAACCAAACAGAAAACACAGCAGAAGGAGAAGACACACTCCAGTTTGCCCTTGAAGGAAACCAGTGGTATTTCTCACAGCCACCATCCTGAGGCTGAAACTCTCCATTCCTGTAAGTTGCTCTGGCGTGATGTAATCCTGTTGTCACAGAGGGATCCGCATATAAAGCGTCCCCTTCATATGAAGACGGTGACTTCTCTCTGCTGGCATTTCCCAGTGCCTCTCCCCATATCTCCCCATCAGCCTCGTGCACGGACCCCCTCAATTCTGCTAAGCCGGTGCCCTCAGCAGTCATCACCTTCCTGGACCTGCACCTTGGCCCACACAGGGAAGACCCTATTTCCAGGCTCCCGGATGCCATGAATGATTCAGATCTCATGTGGGCGGCGGAACACTGGTCCCCAAAGACGCCCAGATGGAGGAAAGGGCCACCAGCCAAGGATGCAGACGGCCTCTGGAAAGTGGACAAAGGAAGGAATGGATTCACCCGAGGCAATTCTGCACAGGTCGTGAGCCGGGCAACCCCTCACTTTTAACCCAGCGACGCCCATCTCAGACATCTGAGCTCCAGGAATGTCACACAACAGGTGTGCGTCGTTTTGGGTGTGGGTCCTTGTTTCAGCAGAGGCACGAAGTGAAGGCGCCCCACTTCCCCCGTCCCCCTCTGCCTCTCCCCGACTCGTGCTTGAGGCCCCTCCTCTCCCAGAGGTGTTTGTCTGCAGCCACAAGCCCTCTGCACCCAGGCACCTGGAGGTGGGGGCTGAGTCATGACAGAAGGGTTGCCTGTACCCTGTTCTTAGGCAATATTTCGTCTTTACTGTCCTGCAGGGCTGTTCAGCCCAGATGCCAGTTGGTTCAGGACACTGAGCAGAGTCAGGGGTCTCACTCCCGAGTTTAAACCCACCGCAGTCCCGGGCGTTTCGTGAAGAGGCTGCCCCCAGGACCCCCCAGCAGAGCATAGTCTCAGAGCAGAGCGGTGGGGCGCTGGGGCCGGCGTCAGTGTTTCTAAAGCCCCCCCAGCTGATTCCATCACCCAGGCAGGGCTGGGAGCGACCGTGGCCGAGGCGACGCAAGTCTGCAAAGTCGCTCTCAGGTTTGCAAGGCTCACCGAGGTGTCAGAGCCCAGCCCGCCTTGTAATCGCCCCGTCAGATGCTCCCCAGCTGCGTGTGTGTCGTGTGCAGAAGCAGATGTCCCCCCCTCCCACCCCCCGGGGTGGGGCACGTGGAGCGGGGCGCCCAGGGCGCGGTGCTTTGTTTCCTTCCCAACCAGCTGTCGCTTCCGGGGAGCCTAACCTCCGCCCTGTGGAGCCACCAACCTCTGCAGAAGCAACTGGGAGGAAGCGTGGTTCCTATAAAACGGGGCTCCCCGTGTGGTTTTGAGTCACAAGGGTGGAATCCACATCAGAGTTCTGATGGCCTTCCTTATTTCAAAGAGAAGTGTGGAGTTGTTTTTTGTTTTTTTTTGTAAGTACAAAAAAAAAAGCTTAAATAGATGATCAAGCCAAAAAAAAAGTTTGTCTCTAAAAGTGGGCACGTCGTGGGTTGTACGGTCAAATCCAACCTGGTTTATCAAATTTCCATTCCTCTCGAGTTTTGTGTGTGTGTGTGTGTGTGTGTGTGTGTGTGTGTGTGTCTCTCGTGTTGTTGTGTGTGTGTGTGTGTGTGTGTGTGTGTGTGTGTGTGTATGTATTAGACCCTACTGCAGGGATTTAAAACATCCTGCAGTAGAACTTTCTAAATCAACATGGCCTAACATACTTGTGCCTTCTATTGGCCCAGGATGGTGGAAGGAAAACACAATTTTGAAAAGTCTTTGCTCTGTTTTCATGGGGTCATGATGCGAAGGAAGATGCTATGACGGAAAAATTTTATGGATGTTTCGGAAAGTTGTATCCACCCAGAAAAAAAAAAAACCAACTCTGCAGGCATTTAAAGTTCAAATTTACCCAGGGATTTATCTGACTCATATTTTAGGCATTGACCCAAGTTTAAAAAAAAAGCTTAATCATTTATAAGCTATTCCATGCATTTCTAATATACAGTGAAGGTTTTAATGTTATCGGGGGTCAATTTTCTTACCATCGAAACCGCTGTAAATTTAGTTTATTGCATGCCATTTTTAGTAGCCCGTCATGTCTTTTGCAAACAATCCAATGACATCTTGACCAGTAAGGATTTTATAAGGAACACAGACCAGATGGTGGAGAGCCCCAGCTGGACGGAACCCACGAGTAAGTGCGTCCTCTCCCCTCCCCGGTCTCTGGCGGTGCTCAGATTCATCAGCTCAGCGTCTTCAGAAACGTGGATGATTGGACCAGCTACAACCCCTCCCCGTGGGCCCTGGACACCGATCCGATGATTTTGAACAACTCTGCTTAACGTCTGGAATTTCTCATGCCTCTGACCATGAATGTGTCTGTGGCCATCTCGCTGGGTCTGGGGAGGATTCAGTAAAAATCTATGTAAAAAGCCTGGTCCTCAGTTGGTTCATTATGAATGTCATGTATCATTCCTCTTCTCTAAGTGCAAATGCATCAGCCCCATAAGTTGTAGGGGGTTCAGGGAGCCTTCACCAACCAAGGGGCTGGTTTGGTCTTGGCTCTTGGGCAGTTGACTCTTGGGTGAGGCGTCTTCATGGGTGACCACTCCGTCTGCCCTGTGTCCATCTGTCCTTTCCTCTCTTCTTTCTTTCCCTGCCTCCACCCATGTGTCTTTCTATCTATCCATCTATTGATTGTCTATTTATCTATCTATCCATCCATCTGTTGTCTAGCTCTCCATAACTTCCCTCCCTCCCTCCTTCCATCCTTCCACCCATCCATGCATCTATCATCTATTTATCCATCCATCCATCCATCCATCCACCCATCCATCCATCCACCATCTATCCATCCACCCATCCATCCATCCATCCACCATCCACCATCCTTCCTTCCATCCATCCATCCTTCCTTCCTACCATCCACCCACCCATCCTTCCATCCTTCCATCCATCCATCCACCCACCCATCCATCTGTTGTATAGCTCTCCATAACTTGTCTCACTCCTTCCTTCCATCCTTCCACCTATCCATCTATCTATCTACTTATTTATTATCTATATACTGTGTACATCCAGCTACCTATCTATTTATCACTCTATCCACCCATCTATGTGACTGTCTCTATCCATCCATATTTATTAATTTACCCACCACAAGCAACACAGATGAGATGAATTCACTAATATTCTGGGAGCAGATCTGAAATTGTTCCCAGCAGGTAGCTATCAGAAAAAAAAAGAAGATCTAAAACCCAGATGAGGAAGCACTTCTCTCCTTTGGTGAAACACCACAGGACCTGCCTTGAAGGGCAGAGTCTCAGAGAATAAGGACAGAAGGGAAGAAGAAAGTTAAGAGGGTCAAGAGGGGAGGAGATCTTTCAATCATTTCAATGGGTGTGTGGCCTTTCACCCAAGGTTCTTCATACCTTTTAATCCTTGGCAGGTCAGCGTCAAAATTAAATTCCAGACTAATGAAATGAGGAAGTTCTGGGAGGTGACCTTCTGTTTTCCAGCCACCCCCCTCGGGGAGTGAGGTACCCTGTTTAATTGCATTCTTCACCGGTAGACAAAACCGGCTGAAACACTCAAGTGCCCTCAAGTCAGTGCTGAATATGAATTTTACCATAAATGTCTGATTTGAATAATTTAAAAACAAAATTCGATCAACAGCCAGCCATCGTGGCCAGAGGCAAGTGAAGGCACCATTCTCTGTCTGCCCCTCGACACTCGATGTCCCTTGAAATTCTGCCTTTTTAATATCGTGGAAATCACCGTGATATTTTTTAAGGGGCTAATGAGAAGTCAAGAGGGTTCTTTATATGTTTAATATAAAAGAGATAGGCTTCTGCCCCTGGGAACATTTTTATGAGAAACATAACCAGATGTAGAATCTCCTTTCCTTTCCACACTGCTTCTGATTCTCCCATCTGCACGGCACGTGGACTAATTAAATATTTAAAGTCATTATCATGGAAAGATATACCTTCCTGAAAAAAAAGAGTTTTAATGAAATGAAAAAAAGAAAAAGTGAAGGATGGAGGCCAGTGTCCGCATACTCAGAGGGGAGAGACTTGATCAGGGGTAGGGTCCTGGGTTCAATCCCCAGTCCCTCCTCTAAAAATAAATAACAAACTTAATTATCACCCCCCCACCACACAAAAAAAAAGAAAAGAAAAAGGAACAAGTTTCTACTGCATAGCACAGGGAGCTATAATCCATATCTTGTAGTAAAAGATATGGAAAGATTCATCTACCACGAAAAAGGAGATGGGAAATGAATATGTGTACCTATATGGATGACTGAAACATGATTCTGTGCACCAGAAATTGATGCAACATTGTAAACTGACTAGACTTCCATTAAGAAAAGAGATATAAAAAAGTTTATTACAGAAGCTTCAACGAGAAACCCTCCCAGGGTGAGCAACCTCTAAACCCCTAAAAGGATGGGCTCATCCTGTTCTGCACTCTCCTCAGACCAGAAGGACAGCAGGTGACACAGAGCAGAGCATCCCACAGGCAGGTGCACGGGTGGGCCGACCACTGCCGTGGGGGCCTGGGGCAGCCGACCCGGCAGGCAGCACTCGCCCCGGCAGGGCCGGTAGGTGGCGCGATCGGATAAGCCCAAAGCGAATGCAGGCTCAGCCGGTGCCTGCGACCCGCTCCCCATCACGGCTGTCATCTGGGGGAGAGCCCCAACCCGCCGGCTGTCCCGGGTCCACACACACACACACACACACACACGCCGTGACAACGGCCTCACCAACGTCC